GGCATCGTTCCGGTAAGCTACCAGCCGGCTACTATGCATCAAAAAAATTACTATGCAAAATTATATAAGGTTAAATAATGAGATCGTGGTTGGAGGGGGAGGCTAAGAGGGATGGAGTGGGACAAAGAAACTCACAGCACGAACGCCACTGAGGTCGGCTCCTAGCCATGTCAGCAAGTGTGTCCAACCAAACGTGTTCATCGTCTTTCGGACCCCAACCAGGGAGCCGAGACGCTCCAACCGAGGCCAGCTCAGAAGTGAGGGCCTTCATTCCTCTCGACCAAGTCATCGCTTGGCCACCCCTCCTCTTCTTCCATCCACACCCCCGGCGCGCAAACAACGCACGTCGCGGGAGTCGGTGGGCTGGCATGCGTAACACGTGGCCGAGCCGTCGGAGCCTGGTGCGTGAAATAACGGTGCTGAGCGGTTCATTTCCTTTTCCTGTGCCATAAACAAGGCGTCGAACACGCTCGTTGCTCACGCGGTGTTCCCACCAGATGTGAGCTAAATTACGAAGGCACCGGTGGTCGAACGTAACTAGCCTCTTCAGGTCCGCTGCTTTAAGCGGCCAGGTTTCACAACCGTACAGTAGGGTCGAACGTACTGCTGCATTGTACACTCTACCCTTCAGGGCAAGAGTGATGTCGCGCCGGCGCCATAAGTGGCGAAGGTTAGCAAAAGCGCCCCGAGCTTTTGCTATACGGTTCGTGATCTCATCTTCAATCCCACGGGCGCTGATACAACTTCCCAGGTAGTTGAATTTTTGAACGACTTCTAGCTGATCCCCACCAAGGGTCAGCGTAGGGGGCGGTCCAGACCAATCTTGGAGAAACGCTTTGCACTTCGAGGGTGCGAAGCAAAGCCCGAAGTGACGGACAGCTAGTGCTAATCTGTCCAGTGCCGCTTGGCACATTTGTGAGCTGTCACAGATTAGGGCAATATCATCAGCATACTCTAAGTCAAGAAGTCGTTCTCCTGGGAGTAGCTCCACACCTTCTAAGTCGTGTCCTGTAAACGCGATTTCCATGACTTCGTCAATAGCGAAGTTGAAGAGGAAAGGTGACAGCGGGCATCCTTGTCTCACACCGCTGGAGATATTAAAGGGCGACGACAACTTGCCGTAAGCCCTCACTCTGCCCGAGCTACGAGCATATAATGATCGGATAATATTCACATATTTCTCGGGCACACCTCTCCTGAGTAGACAGTCCCAAAGTGCATGTCTATCCACCGAATCGAATGCACCTTTGATATCGAGGAACACGACAATGGTGGGCCGCCAATATATGTGACGGTGCTCCAACAACTGACGCAAGGTGAAGATGTGGTCAATGCAGCCACGACCTCGACGAAATCCAGCTTGCTCTTCACGAATCTGGCTTTCACGAGTGCCAGTCAGTCTGTGAAGGATGACAGAGGCAAGCAATTTGGAGGCGATGGAGATCAGACTGATTCCTCTATGGCTGCCGCATTCCGATCGTGAGCCTCCTTTGAAAATTGGGACTATGACGGAGCGGCTCCAATCGGTTGGGACAGTTTCCTGCTCCCACAGTTTCACTAGTAACTCGTGTAATCATCCACAAGAGCAGGTCCCCCGAATTTGAAGAGGGCTGGAGGAAGATCATCAGGTCCCGCGGCTTTATTTAACTTCAACAGTTCGATCTCACGTTCGACTTCTGAGCGAGAGGGTGGATCCAAAGGGACAGCCCAGGGAGTGGGGCGATCAGTGGCCGGCGAGAAATCTAACAATTCCGACCGATTAAATTGCCTTTTAAAGTGCTCAGCCCAACGCTCTAAGCGTTTGGATAAGTTGTGGATAGGCTGTCCACTCTCGTCACGTATAGTTTCACTAACACCAGGTCTCCTGCTGCCCGTTTCCCGTATCAGACGGAATAACTTACGATGGTTACCAAGGGCAGCGGCCATTTCCATCTCTGTTGCACGACGAGACCACCAGGATTCGCGGTCTCTCTTCAGGCTAGCACGGAGTTTCGCCCGGAGCTCTTTGCGAGTTTCACTGTGTTCGCTTCCAGCCGGAATATGCCGGCGAGCATCTATAAGTTCCAGAGACTGTGAAGAGACCCAATGTCCATGTTGGCGATTAGACACACCACATGAGGATTTTCCTGCTGCTAGTAAGGTCTGGTGAATATGAGACCAGTGAGCTTCAATTGCATCCAGTGAGCGTTTATCCAACTCGCATGACAGCGTACTTTGATAGGCATTCAGAACAGCTGGCTTCGCCAGTTGGCTGGTGTCAATGCGCTCACAACGTCGTCGTGGGCGTCCGCCAAAGCGCATCCGCAGGTCAGCACATACAAGTGCATGGTCGGTGTCCACACCTGTGCTCCAAATCGAGCGACAGTTCTGGACGCAGCCTCTCCATCGGTAACTTATCGCAATGTGATCGATTTGCGTCCATAGCTGATTCGAGGCTGGTGGGCGCCAAGTCACCCTCCGGCGGGTGCTGTGTCTGAAATTAGTGCTCGCAAGAAATAAGCGAGCATCCTCACACAAATGAAGTAACCGCTCACCGTTATCATTACGGGAGCCTATACCATGTTGGCCGCCCAGATGCAGCTCATCAGTGGATAATTTTCCAACTTGAGCGTTCAGATCCCCAGCCAGCACTACAGTGTCCGAGCTTCTTCTGTGGCTAAGGAGCTCGTTCAGTTGACGATAGAAGTCGTCTTTTACCGAGTCATCGCTACAGTTTGTCGGTGCATAGGCAGCGATAAGGAATAGACACCTGTTAGTCCCACGTGACTTCGAAGCTTTGAACGAGCCAGCCAATCGGACCGCACACATCCGGCTACTGATTGGAATCCAATCAACCAGAGTAGCTTCAGCCCGGGGACTCAGGGCAATACCAACACCGGCTTGGCCGGTGCTCGAAGCTGCATCGTCACCGGATAGGCGCAATGAGAAAGTGCTGCTAGTGTCACCTGAAGGGGATCGCAGAGTGAGCACAGAGCTCGAGTCTTGCAGGCGGGTCTCCGATAAGCAGCAGATATCAATCGATAGGGTCTCTAATGTTCGAGCAAGTGCTGCCTGTTGACCGATCTGAAGCAATGTGCGAACATTGAGGCATGCCAATCTGAAGGAGGATCGAGGGCTCCAAATGGAAGCCGATGAACTGGAATGGGCCGCTTGGTTGGACATGGGCCTGTTGACAGGGCAGGAATGACGCTCCGCGTTCACATGTGAGTTGAAACTAAAAGACAAGGGACTATTGAAGCAAGGTGGGGGAGGGCCGAGAATTGGGGGTTGAAAACAGGGGGGATAAAAGTGAAGCTGGAACGGGACGATAAGGGTGAAAAAGCGCAAGAGGGGGAATAAGAAGACGGGAAGGCTTGAGCAGTAGCATCCAAACCCCTATCCACCCTGCTCGATGCAGCAGATAGGGCACCGTTGATTATCCTCTGCGGTGGCCAGAGCATCAGAAATTTGTTTGAAGTGTGATTCATTGTATTGCGTGGGCAGGATACTGTCAGGTTGCCCAGGCCTAGACAGGAGAACGATTAGGGTTCTCAACCAAAGCCTTTGGTTCAAAAGCTGACCGCAAGGCAGCGGGTTTGGCGGTGGGCTACAAGGAGTCCGTTTTAAGGAATAAGGAGCCACCCGCATTCCAACCCCCAACCTGGAGGACCAGGAGGCTGAGTTTGTCTGGCCTCTAACCATTGACCAATCTGGTATGAGTGGCTCTGAAGGTGCAAAAATGCACCACCCAGTATAGCTCAATGGATCACAGAGGCACACAAACCATCGCACCACGGTAAGGTCCAGCCTCATTGCGATGGAGTCCAGCCTCATTGCGATGTCACAAAGTACAGTCTTATAAATGCTATGTGGTTTCACGACTACTGGTAGGGAATCCCTGACATTTAAAGGCCTACCTCTCTCCTCTTTGCATGGCAATGGAAGATGGTCGGGCTAAATCGCAATTAGATTTCAATCCATGGTGGTTCCTCATAGCTCAGTGGCATAGGATACTGGCTAGTGGTTCAAGGGGACCAAGGGAATGTGCACCACTGACGTGCCCACTCTGGGATCGTCTGATGCTTTTCCGGATTGGTATTTGACCTATCTGGTGTGCACCCTAATTGCGATGGGCAAAATAAATCCTACTAAATCCCTCTACTCACAAGTAATCGAATGTATATTTGTTTTGTGACAGCCGCGTGACGGGAGATGCAGTGTCCTAGATGGCGTGGTGTTACCAGTTGCATGTATCTGATAGAGCACCAGCATGAAATCGACGTACATCCTCTGTACATGATGATGAGCAAGAACAGCTTTTCGTGTGGTTGCCGCCAAGCTACGTATAACAAACGTGCTAAAACTGAATACAGCCGAGATGATGATAAGGAAATCGATTGCTAGTGTCAATACGTTTAGGCATTCCGAGACGTCTCTCCGTGCCCCGATAAGCTGTCCACTTATGCAGATAACTGGTGTGTTGCTTGCTCGCAACACTGCGCTGTGTTGCACCGACTTGAACCGTGAGTTAAATCTCAGCTCTGGTAACAAAAGTGTTTCTAGCCACTATCACGGCACCATCAAAAATTCAAAGGGCGAATCCGAATGGAATCCACATTGAGCATATGCAACACCTGTTTGCCGATCTGATCTGGAGCGCAGAGGTTGAAAGCACTCGTAAGTTTAGTTTACAAAGCCAGGACATGTCTCCTGTCAGTTGGGATCTGAGGTTGATGTGGGGATGATTATACCCACTGCCTATTGTTTTCAAAAGTTGAGTTGCACTGCTGCCTCATGACTCAGCCCACAAGACAGGCACCACACGAATAAACGTTTGCCTTTTGCCAAAAATAGCTAGCTGCGTTTGAATGCCCTGTTGTCCTATGTAGTGTGTTCCAATCTAATATTGATTCCACAGTTAGGTATTCCAGCTACTTTTGTTCTATATTATGGTTCACAGAATCACCGTCGTTTGCGTGTGCCTTACCCATATTTTTCGGCTCGCGACCTCGTGTATGTAGGTGAAGGCCGGGCCAAGATGGGTTCTCGAAGATGGTATGAATCTGTCCGCTATTCGCGAGGTGAAAGCTTTGAAGGAGTTAGAGCACCCAAATATCCTTACAGTGTTGGATGTGTTCAGTCAGGATCGCTGTATCTGCATGGTCTTTGAATTCATGGCAGCGGATTTGGAGGCTCTGGTGCACGACTTCACAGTGGTCCTCGTCCCGTCCCACATCAAAGCACTGAGCTTGCAAGTGAGCATCACATATGGGAATCTGGTTTTCATGTATACTCTTCCACAAACAACTTTCTGTTACACATGCCTCTGCTTCGCATCAACAGTGGGATTCGCTTAGTTAACTAACTGCGCTTGCTGGCTTCTTTTCACTCCTAATGCTAAATATGGCTGCAGAGTTTATTAAATTATTCTTTACTTGGAGAGCTACTCATTCCCTGTCATTTTTCCTCATAGGCTCCAGCATCCCATCAAATGTTTATGCCATGTTCATGTAACAGTTTTGACTAAAAAGCTGGGAGATATCTTGGTATACTGTTAACCAAAATCTTTTTGGTCCTCTTTTGCGCTCATGGTAGCCATATCCCCATTGCACTACCATGCCCAGATCATAGCATAAAATTCAGACGGACACACTTGCGGGCGATGGGAGATTCTCAGCTCACGTGCGAAGCAGACAAATTATTTTTCAATTGACTAGCAAGTTTTTATTGAGTTTCAACTTCAACGCGCCACTACGTCAGGGCTGTTAGTATGTTTCAACAATGGCAACGAAGCGTTTATCGTAAAGTCGCAACAAATATTCGTAACAAGGATCCAAACGCAGCGAAACTTAATAATTTTATTGCTGTAGGCTGAACTGTATCTGGTAGGTATAAAAATCAGGGAGGAACAGAACGCACTATCCGAATCTTTATCTCATGCTTGTACTAAATGCACTATCACTACAAACCTTTCCCACTCTCACTTTCGTCGTGACACATCCAGTTCGTTTTATGTCTACGTGGATGCGTCGTTGTGCTTAAATGCGCTCGTCGTCTGATGTTATAAACTCATCTTGATGTCTTTTATCCACAGTTGTTGCGTGGTGTGGAATATTTACATGCCTGTTGGATTCTACATCGTGATTTGAAACCCAACAATTTGTTCCTCAGTTCTCAAGGAAAGGTAAAGATTGGTGACTTTGGTCTGGCACGCCAGTTCGTCTGCTCCCCCTTACGGCCGATGACACACCAGGTCGCCACACGTTGGTATCGAGCCCCGGAGCTGTTTTACGGTTGTACCCAGTACGGTGTAGCAGTCGATCTGTGGGCCGTTGGTTGTATCATTGCGGAATTCTTGTTGAGAGCTCCCTTATTCCCTGGAGATTGTGATTTGACTCAACTGAGTAAAATATATGAAGTAAGTAACATAAGATGTGCGCCCTTCTCGATTACCTGTTTCAGCATGTGTTGATGTGCACTTTCCCTCTTTCTCTTATGTGGTACCACATCGAGTGCTGTTGTTTTCGGAGCTGGTTTGAGTTCGTGTATGATGCGACTTGTGAGCTGAAATCACCTATTCTCATTTTATAGCTTTGCTGTGCCCACCCTGCTGTAGTCGCCCGAGCATATTTCGTCCGAATGACACTTATCCCTAAACTCTACTTCTTGTGATGCATAATACACCGTTCTCCTTAAACGTCCCGTCCACTTTTATCAGATCACAGGTACACCGGATGAAGACACATGGCCAGAAGTACGTCGCTTGACTAATTATGTTCAGTTTGAACACAGGCCCGGCGTACCATTCTCTACGATTTTCACCGCGGCTGGATACGATCTCATCGATCTCTTGACAACTCTGCTCAGTCTGAATCCGGATAAGCGTGGAACAGCAAGCTCAGCCCTCGCTTCGTCTTATTTTTCGAATAAACCATACCCAACACCGGACGATCGATTGCCTCAACCGAAGGTTAGTCGAACCGTGGCCAGTTCACTTCATCAGCATGAACACCAACGGGAACTTTTGAACCCACTTGATCCAGGTCTGGTGAGACCGTCTGCCTCGGTAAACTTGCAAGTTACTCCAATAGCATCAGCCAAAATCGCTAAATCCCGAAGATATGACGAACGATTAGAGACAAGTGATGTTCCCGCTGCCAAACGTTTGTGTTTTTGATAGGACCATCCTGCCCACCGATATACACCCATTTCTAGTCATTCCTTTCGAAGAGCAATAATGAAATACTTTTGCACGACCCAACTGTTTATGAAACAAACTTGCGACAGATGAGCGATAGAGAAATATAATACTTTTGTATCCAATTGATCCTTATTATATTCAGATTAATCCAGAATTCTGAACCGCCAGATTGCTGCTAAGTGGGTCCTTTATCTCAGTCAGCTTAACAAAAGAGAGGACAATCACAAGAAGGACGTGCAGACTACACCCCGCAGCTGTTTGCATTCATAGATGGTGAGCAATTATCAAGACTGATTGACGAGTGTGTACTTGTACTAAGGGGCTGCGGAAACATCCACTCGTTGGTCACTCGAGGCTATTTGAACGTACCAGTGTTTTCGAAGGCATGTTGCTTATGGCGTCGTCCTAGGTATGGTCGCAGACCTTACCAAGACAGTCCTGGGACTGGTAAACGTGTCGAAAGTGAGACCCAAGACAACAACTACCGAGTTGTCCGCGTGGTATCCAATGGGATTCGGACAGCTCTGCAACACCAAACTTAGGCGTACAGCAAAAGAAACAATATCGAACAAAAAGAGAAACCAAGTGGCTCTTCCCTCCAAAATTTGTGTATGTGCGGAAATAATGCCTGAGAAACGTATTCATCGCATTATTAAATATAGTTACGGAAAACAAGATAGTGCACAGGGTCAATCGAGATAACTTGCCACTCAATAAGTAAAATCACAAGTTTTGATCGTTTTCAAAATCTACGTCCTAGAACCTTCCCACTTCCTGGGTGCGGGTCGCGAGGTTATCTAGACTAATGAGTAGAAATGTTCACGTAGGCTGATTGAGTTCATCGCAGTACAACTGTGTCTTCTACTTCAAACTGCCGGTAAACTTTTCATTTTAACAGTTCAGGCCTTTATTTCGCCTTTGCCTGTTTAGCTTTGATTAATTTTCGCTTGAGACTTATCAATCAACCGCATTCTAATGCTTAAACGATATCTCACAAACTGAGGTGAAATCTAACTCACTTGTAATCTAATTGCAGTAAACCAAATAAACCTTGCAAAATCCGTCTATAAACGAGTAAACAAAAACTATCATCGCGACGAGACTTGTCCTTAACATGGTGCGATGGATTACGTGCCTCAGCGATCCTCTGAGCTATACTGGATGATGCTTTTGGCACCTTCATAGCCACTAATGAGAAGTGCTGGAGCTGATACGGGTTTTTCCCTTCTGCTCTCAATGAAATTATATGGTGGAAATGCAGGAGCGTGTAAAGTGCCATCCGCGTCTGGTCGATTCAAACACATGTAAGCAACGTCCCCACAGGCATGCCTTTTACTTTGCCCAAGTACAAGGTGGAAATATATTTGCATAACATTCTACACACCGTACCAAGACAAAAGGGGAATCTCCAGGTCGCTACATACTAGTGCAGGGCACGTGGACATTGGCCGGCTGACCGTGTAGTGCGCGCATGTTCATTTGACACTTAAATGAAAATATAATCGCCAGAACCAATCCTGGATCAAGGACGCTCTTGAAATTGAGACCGCCATGGGCTTTTCTTATTGTTCCTGTACCACTGAAACAGAAACGTAGGGTGTTGTGGCTCAGACGCTGGTCTTTCGAGATCATAACGAAGGAAACGCGTACTATATTTTTCCCTACTCTTTAGGCCATACAAATCACGACGAGACCAGATTTTGGTGCGGTGCGATAGTTTGCGTGCCTTAGCGATCCACTGAGCTATGCTGTGAGGTGCATCATACACCTTCAGAGCCGCTCGTACCGGATTGGTCAATGGCTAGAGGTCAGAGAAATTCAGATAAGGAGTTGAAATGAGGGTGGCTCATTACTCTATATAACGGATTTCGTAGCCCAGCGTCGAAACCCCGCTGCCCTGCAGTCAGGTTTCCGAACCCTAATCGTTCTCCTGTCTATGCCTGGGCAACCTGCCAGTATCCTGCCCGCTCAATGCGACGGATTTCCCTTCCCATAATCAACCGCGTCGTTTGCTGCATAAAGCAGGGTGGATAGGGGTGAGGATTCTACTACTAAGGCCCTCCAGTCCTCTTATTCCCCCCTTGCGCTTATTCATCTATCGTATCGTTTCGACTTTACTTTTATTCACCTGTTTTCAACCCACCCTCAATTCTTGGCTCTCCTTCATCTACTTTCTACTCACAATCGCAGGTCGTCGCACCGGTCCAATCGAAAAGTTCATATCCAGCCAAGCAGACAAAATAAACTCATCTGTTTCTATTTGGAGACCTCGATCCTCGCTAAGACTAGCATGCATTAACTTGTGCACTTTGTTACAGATCGGCCAACAGGTAGCACTTGCTGAGGTGTGTTTTTCACCCTCAACTAAAGTAATAATGACGACAAGCACTTGCCCGAACAATAGAGACCCTATCGATCGAAAGGAGGATAGGTTAAAGATGACTTGGTCACGGATTGTGAAGATCCTCTCTTCAAACTTGTCGCAGGTTGGTGCATCCCGACTGCTGGGCTGGGGTTCGAAGACAGGTGACCAAGTTAGGTTAGGTACACTTATTGAAATGGTGAAGAGTCGGTCTCAAAAGTGTTTGTGTTGTGACTTTTTCTGTTATTGCAAATCCCACTTATCACTCCCTCCAACCACCATCTCACAGCCGTTGGGTAATGTGTTACTTAGCATCACATTCACATGAATTCGTGAGAACGCTGCTATGTTCCCCGAGCTGGGCGTTTCAGTTGCAGACGTTCCGTCGCCAAGCTAGGCAACATCATCAGTGCGGCTATCAAGGTCTGAATCGCAGAGCATCGCGAGCCAGTTGCAGATCCCGGAGACTATTGATCGTGTCTTGCTTTGAATGTTAGCTATCCGTTGACCTACGTGGGTCGGCCAAGTGATCACTTCTTGGTCTGACGCCTAATGCAGACTTGCTTTGCAGAACCTCGTGTACCCCCTCTAGCTCCAGATGCTCGTTGATTGAGTTCCGGCCCGAATGCCAGGCCTCGATGAACTCACGCGCCCTTCGATTCCTTGCTCTCCCAAGATTAAATTTTTGGTCCTCGGCATCCATATGTATTGAAATTAACGATTTCTCATCATGACGCCGGATAGCTAGTCTATGCTCGTGAAGTCTTGTGCCGAGTTTTCTTCCAGTCTGGCTCACATAGTATTTGTCACATTTCTGGCAAAAATCTTTTAAATTACACTAGATGTTTCTTCCTTACTTAGTTAGTCTTTTGCCTTGAAGTTTGCGCCGAATTGTTTCTGTTGCTTCATGCGCAACGTTGATCCCGTGAGGCATTAGAAGTCTTGCTGCCATCTCAGAAATTCCATTGATGTAAGGTAGGATAATAGTTTACCGTTCTGTTACACTAGTGGATGCGGGTTGTGGTTGTTTCCTCGACATCCGGCAGCGTAGAATAAAACATCTGGGGTAGGAATTTCGCTGCCACCTGTTGAGGAGGTGGTCTTCCTCCGCCTTCCTTAGTGTGTTTGGGCCCGTTTGAAGAGAGTTCTTACACAACTGCGCTTGTAAACGGCCGGATGGTTACTACGATAGTTCAAAATCTGATCGGTATACGTTGCCTTTCGATAGACTGTTGTTTCCAGGGGGCCAGAACTATGTCTTATCACGAGCACGTCCAAGAATGGCAACTGGTTATTGTTCTCCTCTTTGGTGAATTGGATGCCAGAGAAAATGTTGTCGATTAACTGGTGTGTTTCTTGAAGTCTGGAGCGTTTGACGATAACAATAGTGTCGTCGAAGTAGCGTACCCAAAGCTTGGGCTCTACGATCGGCAGTGCTTTTTGTCCCGGTGCTTGCATCACTGCCTCGACTACCAATCCAGAGATTGGTGAACCCATTGGCATGCCCATTATCTGCTTGTAAGTTTGGCCGTTGAAAGTGAAATGTGTGATGGGACAGAAATCAAGCAACTCCATCATTCGCGTGACTCCAATTCTGTTATGTGCATTTACACCGCTCCGTGTTGTTCCAGCAGGGTCTTCATTATTTGCTTTGCCAGTTCGATGTCAATTGATGTGTACAAGGCTGTCACATCAAAGGACACCATTATCTCGTCTCTTTCTATTGTTATTCCCTCTGAGTTTCCCAAGGAATTGTTCCGCCGATTGGATTGAATTTTCTGACCCTGTGATTGGATGTTTCAGCCGTTTCCAGAGTTCTTTAGAAAACTTGTACTTGGCTGTCCCGAGTAATGACACTATTGGGGGAAGCGGTGCCCCATTTTTGTGTACTTTAGGTAGGCCGTAGAACCGTGGTAGGATTTAGTCCTCGGGTTTCATCTTGCTGTATTCTAACCTCGTGATCTGTCCCATTTGTCCTAGTCTTTGAAGAGTACGTTTGATCTTGCTTTCTAAACATTTCGTAGGGTTCTCACTTATCAGCTGGTAGGTGTTAACAACCTCAAGCTGTTCTTGTTCTTTCTTCATGTAGTCGGTTTTATCCATCATTACCGTAAGACGTCCCTTGTCGGTTGATAAGATGATGATTTTATCTTTTTGTGAGCTTGTCAGTGTATTTTGTTCGCTTGCGCCGAAAATGTTGGTTTCCACTTTGTGACAGCGCGGGTATGGTGCAGTGCCTAACTGCATGTTGGCCTTCAGTTGCAATGTTTGATGTGGTCAGCGAGGAAATCAATGGGATTGGAATCCGTGTATCTAATAGGGTTCGCTTGGATAGATTATTAATCCAATCATCATGTACATTTGTTGGTTTGTGTTGCTAGATTATCTAGCTTCCTTCCTAGCTTCTGCTTTGTTTGAAACATTGCTTATGGGTCCTAACTTCTATCGCTTTCTTAAGCATCAGATCTTGAACAATTGCAGTAACCATCCGGCCGTTTGCAAGCGCAGTTGTGTAAGAACTGTCTTCAAACGGGCTCAAACACACTGTAGCACGCCGCAACTAAGGAAGGCGGAGGAAGACCACCTCCTCAACAGGTGGCAGCGAATTTCCTACCCCAGATGTTTTATTCTACGCTGCCGGATGTCGAGGAAACAACCACAACCCGCATCCACTAGTGTAACAGAACGGTAAACTATTATCCTACCTTACATCAATGGAATTTCTGAGATAGCAGCAAGACTTCTAATGCCTCACGGGATCAACGTTGCGCATGAAGCAACAGAAACAATTCGGCGCAAACTTCAAGGTAAACGACTAACTAAGTAAGGAAAAAACATCTAGTGTAGTTTCAAAGATTTTTGCCAGAAGTGTGACAAATACTATGTGAGCTAGACTGGAAGAAAACTCGGCACAAGACTTCACGAGCATAGACTAGCTATCCGGCGTCATGATGAGAAATCGTTAATTTCAATACATATGGATGCCGAGGACCAAAAATTTAATCTTGAAAACGCCAAGATACTTGGAAGAGCAAGGAATCGAAGGGCGCGTGAGTTCATCGAGGCCTGGCATTCGGGCCGGAACTCAATCAACGAGCATCTGGAGCTAGAGGGGGTACACGAGGTTCTGCAAAGCAAGTCTGCATTAGGCGTCAGACCAAGAAGTGATCACTTGGCCGACCCACGTAGGTCAACGGATAGCTAACATTCAAAGCAAGACACGATCAATAGTCTCCGGGATCTGCAACTGGCTCGCGATGCTCTGCGATTCAGACCTTGATAGCCGCACTGATGATGTTGCCTAGCTTGGCGACGAAACGTCTGCAACTGAAACGCCCAGCTCGGAGAACAAAGCAACGTTGTCCCTCACACTGCGAGCTACATGTTTTCTTAATTATTTCCAATCAAATTCGTATACTTACCGAAAAGTAGTATACGGCCCGTAAGCGGGAGCGGTCATTTATCTTCTATATTTTACAGCGTATTCTGCGATATTTTTTATCGCGCCTTTTTCCACACATATTATCTTTTTGTATTGCGGCACAATAGCTGAAGTGTGTTTTTCACCTTCAGCTTATAACAATGACGAATTAAAAATTAAGCCTTAACAGTCCTCAAAATGCCGTGTGGATTCACGGTTACTGGCGAGGGAAGTCGTGACACCCGAAGGTCAACCACTGTCCTCTGCACGGGCAGTGAAGGATGATGGGTCGGGCTATTTCGCAGTTAGATTTCAACCCATGATTGACGGCCATTTTCCCGCATGACTGAGTGCAAGCCACTAGCGGTCATGGGTTCGGTTCTCTGAAGGGGACCGAGGGAATGGTCACCACTGATGACCCACAACAGGGCAAAACAATCTTCGGGTGCTTTTCGTGATTGATAGTTGATCTATGGGGCTTGTGATGAAATTGCGATGAGCCACATAAACTTACCAAATCCGTCTGCTCATAAGTAAACTGAGATGAGTTGGTTTCTTGTAAAAAAAATCATCCCATGAGCATGTAACTGAATTTGTCGATAGACCTCGTTGTTGCATCAGCGAATTTAAAGCAGTTTTCGCCGGGGAAATGAAACAGCCCATAACCGAGGACACTAAGTATGGATTTGTCGTCTGATACGCCGGTAAACAGTTATAAAAAACACGGTGAGGGCAAATTACGTCCAGACTTCGCGTTCCATTGAACAATGTAACCTGTGTAATGCGCTGTTACCATGGTACCTTCAAACAGCGCAGAGGCCTACTGACGTTAACAGAAATGTAGTATGCCCTATAATCGACTGCAGGGGCTGTCAATTAATCTATGGAGAGGACGTCGCGCTCACATTGAGTGGACAATTTGCGTCATGCATCGACTGGGCGGGGTTAAAACTCAGGTTCGCAGGATCGTGATTCTCATAAAAGATTTGAATATCCGGAAAAGTGTGCGCTCAAGCATGGTTCCGACAGCCGTCCTGCCTAGGTAACATAACAACTGAGGTGACTGTTTTTGAGGAAGAACAGCAACGAACGAAATGGAAGTGATGATGTCCAGGTGGCGAAACAAACAAATGGTGCGACAGTTACGAAATGACCCAGTAATCTTCGTTTTGATTGGCATAAATAATTGTATTGATTAAAAATTAGGATCCTGATCAATGAAGTGTGGAGTGCTGTGCCAAGTATCACACGATAGAGAAGCTGGACGTCAGTGCACAGCAGCAACGGACCGAGAGTAGCCGGATAAGAAATAATATGGAAACAAATATGATCCGTGTGACTTGTTGGACAATGATGTGCTGAAATCGGTTAGTGGGGCCAGATGTAGGAAAGAAACCGAGAACAGTGTCAGAAACGACGATGCAAGCTCTGGCGGAATTGTGCACACTGATAGCTGATGGTACAAGGTGTGGAGAAGTTTGCGACCAATTGTGGTTGATTCATGAATGCTTCTCTCAGCTCAATAAAACTGATACGCCAAAACGGGTCGTCAGTGAGTTTCACTTCGCTCGGTAATCGACCACGCTCCTTGACAACGGCGGCGGCGGTAGTGGTTTCGATGGACTGATCGTTTCCCTCGGATAATATAGCTCGCACTCGATTCGTTTCTGCGATCTGTTGCAGTTGACTGCTCAGATGAGCCACAGCATCAACCAGGTCAGACTCAGCAGCAGATGAGGGGACCAGAAGACGGTGGAAAGTCTACAAGACCGGGGATGAAAGCAGTTTAGAGAATTAGAACAAAGTTGGCTAGTGAAACGTGCACGATTGGTGCCGCCGTATGAGGGGCGAGATTGGACAACAACCGGCGTTCAACGATAAACTGGGTTTATGCAGTCAACGATCTACAGTGCGTGTGGAGCGGATTCGACAAATGAACGAAATTCATGCAAAGAAAACATCGCGTCGAAAGCACTGCGTACAACAATGCAATGATAAGAAGAATAGTTATATTCTTGTCCCGCCCATCCTGAGGTGCCTCGATACCCCATGTCAGAGCAAAAACGTTCGTGATACTGTGTATAGATGTTTGTGTGCCAGTATTGAAGCTCATAAGGTAGATGTGTATAACCACTGCAGTTGAATTGTACTTGAATAGTAGATGTGTGTTCGACTTTTCTCCCCGTGCAAAATAGGAGGCCTGGTTACGCATAGTACGCATTTTGACATCTCTGTGTGTCCGATATCATCACATCAATTAGTGGCTTCAGATGGCCTACTGTGTGTAATTCTGTTGTCTAGGATGGATGTAGTTATGCGTGGTTTTTGAGCTGCAACATAAGGTAAACAAGTTTACTAACTACACTACACTTTTTATATTGCTCTCCTTTGGTTGCAGGATGGAAATGCGTGACAGAAAAATCGAACCTGTCGTGGCTAGGCCGACAGAGTGGCAAACTATTAAGCATTCAGCAGGAAGGGCAGTATCTAGCCTTGTTTACTCCACCGAGGTGGAAGCCTAGATATACGCTATCAAGCTAAATATCTCCATTGAAGGCCCCCTTGCCGTGCAGTGGAGCCGCTTAGCAGCCGGTGCAGTGTTTGGTGCGACAACACGTCTTCCTATGTAAACGCTAAGGACATGAACCACGTTGTTCAAATCAGACTGTTTTCCATTGGGTTGCATTTGCCTTTTGTAATCAACTGGTAGGTTTTTCGGATTCCATTATGGTTTTCATTGCTCAAAAGCATTCTCTTATATAAGGATAGATCTTCCTTTCGGGGACTCGAACGACTGCACGCCTCCAATACCGTAAGTCTCAACAGTACAGATCGTGCATTAACAGTAGGGGGATCCATTGCACCAATCCTACACGCATCGAAAACCTACTCCAGAAGCTCTGGAGGACCATGGGTCGTAGCTTTTATCGCCTTAAAATTCAACCAACTCCACAGAGCAGCAGAACTACGGTATCCGTATTTCCCAGTGGTTGAGAGCGGCTGACAAAACAGGATGCATTCTTGTCTGTTCCGGCAAAACGTACACGTACAGCCGTTACAACTTCGAACCAACCTATGAGCACGCCGTGCACATGGCTAGTAATGAACGACATTTCACACTGCATTACTTCACTCATCATCCCACTTCGGTCAATTCTAACTGTATGTAGCAATCCTGCTATGTATAATATCACAATCAAATTCCGAACCACATATATTTACTGTTGTCAAAGACGGTCGTCCTTCAGGGACAAACAGTTTATTGGTGAAAGCTGAGCAGCGGAAAGCTACACCATAGCATACTCTGACATCGCTCTCACATATAGTGTCCGGTCAGTACTAGTAACAACGACGCACTTTCACCAATAGTGTGCTCCCTGTAATCCAGTTAGACAACAACCGACAACCGTCATCCAATTTGCAGATTCTGGTGCGGCCATTCGGTGAGGCCGTTCGGTTGGCATCTGAGCAACTTTCTCGCAATCACGCTATAGCACCCATAACCTTTGGTGTTAGCTTCCTCGACTATGAACAAGAGTTTAACCTTCGACGACACCGTCACCTCACCATGTTCTAACGTAGCCACACAATGACACAGCAATGAACCTACCCAAAGGCTTCTGCAACTTCGAACAGAAATCAGCGTGGCAACATTCAAAGTGCGTGCTCTGATGTGGATCGAACTGCAAGTTGGAACTGCGCGCCTATCAGATAATCTTCAGCATTCTGACAGTCTGTCAACTATCGACATCACCCCCCTTATGCACGGTTCTGATGGTGTGGGTCTATCACATCTGGGTATTATATTACATTTCAGCAGTCTACGAATAAACATGGAGCAATCAAGAACCATAGAAATCAAAGTACAATTGTTGAAATAGAAAATGGAACACAACACAGAGATCTTTGTTCCTTCAAAAAACATGATTACTACTCGGTTGCTCAAATCGAAGTATGGAGTTGATTTAGGAGACATTATGTCGAGCCTTTGAATAAATAGCCTACCAGCAAATCAGCAGTTCGAATTCAGGGAATTGCGCCTAATCGGAGCCGAAGACAGTACTCAGTTCATAAGCCTTCCGTTTGACCGATTGCCAAACAAAGACCCAATTCTCCCCATGACGTCAGCACATATTTGTTCCAGGTTTCTGGAATACAATGCTCCACCGAGGTGAAGAAAGAGGTTGTGACTTTATATAGTGGAGATTCACATCCGCCACGTCTCAGTGCGATTAAGAAGACGTTTGTCTTTTATAGAGAGAACGATTACCTGGCGAATGCCAACCACGTCCTCGAGATCTGCCGTCGAACAATTTGCTGGAACGTGATAAACCTGACCTACTCAACTGCACCCGAAATTTCTCTCATTGATTAGATTTCAAGCAACATTCTCCTCTACGCTATTGGGCTCTTGTAAGGTTTGCGGGTGCCAAGGCGGCAAACATGTCCTTTTTGTCATCTGTTTACGATCCACCGGCTGCAACCAGGATACAAGGATCAATTCTGTCAAAATCTTCATGATCTGCTCCTAATGAGCCCCAGAGGTGGATGTCATCACTATGGTAGGATACTTACGTGTTGGGTGACTGCTATCAAGCAATAATTGTCTTGTGCGCCTACATAGAGGCGATGATAACTGCTAGGACAACGGAGTAAGATCGTTCAACAGCTGTGCCTCTCGTTGACTTCGTCTAGCACAAACATTCATCACTCTGGGTATCACCACGCTACCTGGCGTTTGAAATCACCAACACGGTGTTGGTCGCAGACTGACCGCATCGTGCTATAAGTAGCCGGTTGAGCGGCAGCGTTCGGGACTGCCGATCTTATTGGCCAACTTGCATGGGATCCGTTCATTCGACGGTTTGCATGCGTTTTGGCGGCTACTTAAGGCTAAACAGACCAAGTTGAGCATTGGAGAAATGGAAGACCTTACTATGCAAATGAGGTATTAGAATTTTTCAGAATCTTTGCTTTTCCATTCACTTTTGATGCCAAACAGCACTGATCCCGCTTCCAAACATTTTTCTGCTAGTTTATCCTCCCACAGTCTTGTTCGCTTTACAGCTGAAAATTGGCTCTCACTGACATCCTCGGAATTGATTACTCCTCGAGACTGTGACTGCCGGTGCAGAACAGAACTAACTCCTCTGGTTCATTTCCTAACACTTAGAGGCAAGGTTTTTCCCTGGCCGTGAATTCTGGTGGTCAAAATGAGCCACGTAAATTTTAGCGGTTGCACGTGCTTAGAAGAGTCACGGATTCTTTTACATCATCAATCTCAACGGATGCAAACTAGTCGCTAGCAGCCAGACTATTGTCTGACACAAAATTACCCGACTAAGCAAGCGCTTGGATAGCTGAGTAGAACACTTTGCTCTTCAATCTTGCTTCGTGATACTCCATTGTCATCACATGGTGCTTGAACTGCCCTCACAGATCCTCCTCCTGAAGTGAAGAGTACAGCGGAAATTCGGATTTTCAAACATCACAAGACTACTGGCTATGATAGTCCTCCTCCGGCTCCACTCAAACCATCGCGACGAAACTGGACCTTAACGTGGTGCGATGGTTTGTGTGCCTCAGCGATTCATTGAGCTATGCTGGGTGGTGTTTTTGCACCTCCAGAGCCACTCATATCAGCCTGATCAATGGTTAGAGGCCTGATAAACTTGGTTTCCTGGCTCTCCAGGTTGGGGTTGGAGTGAGGATGGCCCCTTACTCTATAACATGGACTCGTAGCCCAGCGCCGAAAACCAGCTGCCTCGCGATAAAGCATTTGAACCAAAGGCTTTGGTTGAGAACCCTAATCATTCTCTTGTCTAGGCCTGGGCAACCTGACAGTATCCTGCCCACGCAATGCAGTTCTATGATCCTCTCGCCAAATGATTTTTCGGTCTATTATATACACATACCGCCAGACAAAACCATGAAATTCAGCGGATGATAGGTCGAGTCGCCGCAGCACCGTGATTACAGCACATTAATTGAATATGAGCAACACACTTCGGCGATCGTGCCTTAATAAAGAAAACGGAACCCTTTATGTAATTTTTTCACACGCCGATTTTTGTTTTTGATTATTCGGCACTAGGTATCCGCTTACACAAGTATGTACACAGAGCTACTGCTTTAAGTTGTGACCCGTATCTTGAAATGTTTCGTGCGAACGGCACTCTTCGTCCTTAAGTCCCCAACTAGGCAGGCGTGTGGATCCGACGGCAGCAAGATGTGAAGTCAATGATTTCATATGCTGTCGCCAAGTGGATGGTCAACCGCCACGTGGTCTCCCAGTCGAGTCCTGCACGAATAAACAGAGCGCGATAGGGCGAACGCTCGGCTAATATACGCAGGACATGGCCGAGCCATCTTAACCTGCGCAGTAAAACTAGCTTGTTGTAAGGAATACTCGCATTCCATAAGACACTACGTCTAACTCTACTGTTGGAGATACGTTGCCGCTACACACGAGCAATTCCCTTCAAACACCCATTATCGAAGACCGAGAGCCGGCGCATGTCATCTACGCGAACTAGCCATGACTCGCTACCATACAGCAACACCGCCCGAACTGTTGTATTATAAACACGATCCTTTACCAACAGGGAGGCATCCCGACGATGCCACGAGTGTTTCAGGTTAACAAATGCAGACCGGACTTTGGTGATACAGAAGCTTCTTAGCTGATAGCGCCACTGGCAGACATGCAACTACCCAGGTATACATAGTTGTTAACATGTTCAAGCCGTGCGTTCAAGAGT